GGCGTTCTCCACATTTATCCAGTGAGTGCTCGCTGGCCGGCATCTCCACCGCGCCCGAGCACGGCTGCCCACTTTCCTCCATCTCCATCGCGCACCCAACCCACCGCAGCATTCTCTAGCGTGCGGACGGCCTTCTCCACCGGAGCGATGACAGTTCGTGCTAGATTCGTCGCGACCTTCTCAACTAGGTCTATCACGTTCTTTTTCCACCAGGCGGCGAGCTCTGCCTTTGAGTGAACTCCCACACGACGCGAGCCTCTATTCCCAAGCGGCAAGGAGATGTTGCTTATTTGAAAGCGCATGTTGCAAACATATGTGTCGGGGACCAATACTAGGGTACCCGAAGAGGAGGAGCTAATGGTCATCAACATTAATTCATCCGAACTGTCAAGAGCGCGACTACGGCTCCAACCGACCACCAGGTGTGCGGGCTCCGCTTCGACCGACCTCTGGGGAGCCTTTGGGGAAGGACTCCGCCTCGCCCGACCCCGAGGCTACGGGCTCCGCCTCGCCCGACCCTTAGGTTTGCGCTCTGCCTCTCCCGACCCCGAGGCCATGGGCTCCGCCTCGCCCGACCCTTGGGTTTGCACTCCGCCTCGCCCGACCCCGAGGTCGTAGGCTCTGCCTCGCTCGACCCTTGGGATTGCGCTCTGCCTTGCCCGACCCCAAGGCCGTGGGCTACGCCTCGCCCGGCCTCTGGGGGAGGGCTCCGCCTCGCCCGACCCTGAGGTCGCGGGCTCCGCCTCGCCCAACGGAGACCCATGCTGTCGCCAACACTCCAGGTCCAAGTGTATGGCCCTGGGTCAAAGCTCTGACACCAGGGAGAAGACTGGCACGCCCTGATGTAACCCGTGGCTACGAGGGGCCATACTCGAGGATTCACATCAGGAACAACGTCAAGCATACCGGTGCTGTTCTGCCTAACCCTCGTACGAACACTAACAGGCGTGTCAGTTCACCACGACGTCCGCTAGGACGGAGTGGAGCGCCATGACCGACAGACAACGCCTGCGCATGGCGCTAGTGAGAGACAGGGTCGGCAGGACCCGCATGAAGGATAAGGACCTAGCGACCCTGAAGGCCTTTGGCTCTCTCTCGTTCTTCTCTTTCCCTCCGCTGTAACCCGTGCTTTCCCTTGGCCTATAAAAGGGAAAGCAGGGCGCCCCACGAAGGAGATCGATCAATTGAGGCCAGACCCGATTGAACCATTACGAACCCATCGAACCTCGAACCGACCAGAACACAACACAAGCACACGGCTGAGCAGCAACCGAGCTCTCAGCACCCGTTCACTCTTTCCACCAGAGACTTGGGACCTGTCCCTCTCTCGCTCGTTTGTAACCCCTACTACAAACTTTAAGTGCTAGTAACACGAGCAGCAGCAACGAACTGGACGTAGGGACATTCTGCTTGAACCAGTATAAACCTCGTGTCCTCTAAGCACACCATCCGAGCCAGATGCGTAATACTAGAAATTTACTCGTTGGTGGTAACTCGAAACACCGACAATATGTTTTTAGGTGTTTCATACGTTTCAAAGTTATGTTGCAAGTGTTTGTATCAATGTTGCAAAAGTAGATCAAGATGTTACAAAAGTAGGTCGGGATGTTGCACATGGTGCGATGACTATGCACGTATGTTTCAAGTGTATGTTCCAAATGTTTCATTTATATTAGGCGTATGTTGCAAGTGTTTTCATCTGGATATTGCAAAAGTAGATCTGCATGTTGCCAGTGTATGTTGTCAGCGTAAGTTTCAAGTGTTTCAGGTGTTTAATACGTCTGTTGCAAGTATTTCATCTAGATGTGGAATATGTTTGTAATAGTTTTCAAGTGTTTTTCAGGTGTTCAAGTGTTTCAGACGCTTGTTTCAAATATTTCGCCTATCTTCTTTTGTATGTTGCATCTATTGCATCTGGATATTTCAAAAGTAGATCGGGTATTGCACATGGCATGGCGTGGACGTGGGAAGCTTCTGGCGGCGCAGCCGGCAGGCCTGCTGGTGGGGCGCTCTAGCAAGTTCTACTCTCAAATAATTTTTAGTAGCTAAATGTTAGCCGCATGAGATCCAAATACTTCCATAATAGTCCCATAATCGACTTGCTAATTACTACTAGGGTACCTTATTTTCATGTACGGTACATGCGTATAGCAGTGACCAAATGGATGAAGACTTGTAAGCAGGCAATAATATTTGTTCCACTTCTCTCGATCTACCTCCGCTCCGCATGACTTTTCTTGCATGAGGCATGAGCCATGAGGTTAAAAGTAAGAACAGTGATCATTCGTCGGAGTGGACGAATGTTTTCCTTGTCTCTGCCACCAGTACAATCATAACGTTGACTGCCAGCCCTTTTTGGCATTGCCGTTGTACCGTCGCTGTCGTCGTTAGGAGACCAAGGATTACACCACGAGAAAATTTGTTATGCGCCATTGAAATCTATACACATCTCTTCTGTGCCCTTGGAAATCATGACTTCCCTTCTATGCCATTGGTTTGTTTTTTTCTCCCTTATTTGCCATTGCCGTTAGATACTATGCAGAATTACCGTTACCTGTTAACAGAGAAAGATAGCATGCAGAATCACCGGCGGCTACGTGCTAGAACACGACACAGCGTCGGGTGGCTGCATGCTGGAACATGGCGCGTCGTCGGGCGTTTGGAAGATGGAGCATGGAGCGGCATCAGCACACCAGGTCCCTTGTGTGTTGAATGCTCGCATCTAGTTGCAGATGAACGCAGGCGCAAGCAGGCCGTGCAGCAGCGGGCTTTAGCTTCTCGGATAGCGACGGCGTGGCCGTGGCGTGACCCGTCTTCCACCACGCCCGCGCCATTCGCTGCCGCAAGCCCCGTTACAGTGCCTGCTCCACTTTTGAAGCGCTCACCTTCCGCTGCGTTCGTGCCCTCGCCTGTGGGCTGCGGTGCAGCACGCATGCCCGTAGCTCCCTGCGCTGAGCCGCCCCTTCTCAGCCATCCTGCCACGCGGCCTGTTGCAGGCCACGACCGTGGCCATGCACGGCGTCCGTGCAGAGAACAAACCATGCCCGTGCACGGGTCCCGCATTATCGGAGGCATCGAGCGCGAGGCATCCGGCAGTCGCATTGTCATGCGCAGGCGCCGAGCGCGACGGAGACTATGCGACTAGGAGACCACATGTTTAACGGTGTGTGCATGGAGAGACTTAAAAGTAACGGCAATGGCACATAGAGAGAGAAAAATATAAACCAATGGTAATGAAGCAAAACTCTAATTTTCAATGATATATAAGGCAAGGGTATAGATTTCAATGGCATTCAGCAAATTTTCTCTTACACCTAATACGAAGACTATTGCTGACAACACGCACTTAACGAGCTGTATATAATAATATATATGTAGCAGTAGCCGACGATATATATATATATATATATATATGTTAGAATCAACTATAGCAGCCAATATATATATATATATATATATATATATATATATATTTTGGTATGTTGTATGAAGTCGTAGGCAGTTTCACAAGTACCAAAGTAGGCAGCCGGAGAAATGAGGAACTCACACAGATACGCACATGTTTTTGAACTTTCCTAGTCTTTCACAATTATTATTAGTCTATAATTAATTTATGTTTAGTCCTTCTATTAGCATCCAAAACCTAGCTAATTTAATTTTTAGTGCCAGTGGATCCGAACAGTCCTACGGAATGCCTGACTGCCGGCCACTTGACGTTCGTCTACCAAGCTATATATAGGCACCTGACCTTGCTAGTATAGAAGAAATTTGTAGGTACTGGATTCTCTTGTGCAACCATGACAAGTGCAAGTGCTGCAGGCAGCGTGCACGAGATCCGCAGCGCCCAGCGTGCGGATGGCCCTGCAACACTGCTTGCAATCGGCACGGCTAACCCAGCAACCTGCATATCGCAGGATGCATACGCTGACTATTACTTCGGTGTCACCAAGAGCGAGCACCTCACCCAGCTCAAAGAGAAGCTCAAAAGACTATGTAAGCATGCATGGAGCTCAATTTGTTTGTAACGTTTCATAGATCGCATCGCCGTTCATTCATATATATCTGCAGGCCAGAATTCAGGCACGGAGAAGCGTTTCTTCCACCACGACGAGGCGCTCCTGGCCGCGCACCCGGATTTCCTGGACCGGGCGTCGCCGTCCCTGGACGCGCGGCTCGACATCGTCAAGACCGCGGTGCCGGAGCTCGCGGCGTCGGCATCGAGCAAGGCGATCGCCGAGTGGGGCCGCCCGGCCACCGACATCACGCACCTCGTCGTGGCCACCAACTCCGGCGCGCACATCCCAGGTGTGGACTTCCGGCTGGTGCAGCTCCTGGGCCTCCGCGCCTCCGTGCGCCGAACCATGCTCTACCTCAGCGGCTGCTTCGCCGGCGCCGCCGCGCTGCGCGTCGCCAAGGACCTGGCCGAGAACAACAGCGGCGCGCGCGTCCTCGTCGTCTGCGCCGAGCTCACCATCATGATGTTCGCTGCGCCCGAGGAAGGCCACTTCCAGACGCTCATCAACCAGGGGCACTTCGGCGACGGCGCCGGCGCCGTCATGTCGGCGCGGACCCCGGCCCCGCCGAGCGCCCGCTGTTGGAGATCATGTCTGCCGCACAAACCATCATCCCGGAGACCGAGGATGCCATCACCATGCAGCTCACCAGTGGCGGCCTCGGCGGCAGTAGCGTCCACAACAATCTCGGGGTGCTCGTCGGGAGCAACGTGGAGCGCTGCCTCTTGAACTCGTTTTCACCGCTCGGCATTGATGTTCCCAACTGGAACGACCTGTTCTGGATTGTGCACCCGGGCACGGCAGCATTCCTACGCCAGATTGACGCAGTGTTCCAGCTCCAGCCCGACAAGCTGGCCGCAAGCCGACGTGTCTTGCGTGAATACGGCAACATGTTCGGCGCCACCGTGATCTTCGTGCTCGACGAGATGTGCAAGCATAGACACAGGGGTGGTGGTTCTGGTCCTGGTTGTGGTTGTGGTTCTCAAGTGGTCGACGGCCACCTCGACGAGTGGGGTGTCTTGATGGCATTCGGACCAGGAATTACCTTTGAGACGATGGTGCTGCGCGCCCCAAACAACCGCCTGCACAATGGCAAATACTCCATCCGTCCCAAATTATAGATCGTTTTAACTTTTTGTTGGTACATTTATTTTATTATGTATCATTTTATTATGTATCTAGACATAAGTACTAACTATACCGTTTGGATCCACTGGTACTAATTTTAGCTACTATATTTTAGTGCTAATGAATTCAAACAGACCTAATTAGAACGGAAGTCATGTAGTATACATGGCTCCCATTTGTTTCCGTGGTGAATAAATTTCCGTTTAGTTTTGTCATGTTTCTTCATTTTCCAAAAGAAAACAAGTCGAGGAATAGTTCATCCCACGAAGTAGTGCTACAAACAAAAAAGAATTGTCAGATCGAATTGACGGGTTTTGCAGCCGCCTATAGAAAGACACATTTATATAGCAAACTGTTGGGGGACGCATCCCTAGTAACATGGTCCGTCACTAAAAATAATATTACTATTACTAATTAGAGGCTCCAGCTCTCGCTCGACAAACTGGCCGTGAGCCGATGTGTTTGTGGCGATGAGTAATGCACGTTAGTAAATTATGCAGCACGGTTTCCAATGTTTGGTGTACTGTTCTTATTTGTATTGTGGGCTATATTTGTTGTTTGTCTACATAAGGTGTTGAGTTCAAGAACTTTTAGGGGCAAGAGTTTGATATCTCTGACGAAACCCAGTTTGAAGTCAAGTGTCCTTGACCACCATATTAATTTTATGTTGAGTTAGTGTAGTTGGACCATTAGTTGCATGCTGAGTCTAAATTTGAATCCTAAGTTGGGATTTATTAGAAATTCACATGTCAGCCTTGGAACCTGGGTTGGTTGGGACATTACTAATTTTTGACCCTATCGCATCGCTTTGCCTTGCATCAAACGCAAATCTGATGCAATAGGTGGTTGCTATTGCATTAATTTTGCAAATCTGATGCAATAGGTGGGCATTTCAGATTCTAGGAGCTCGTACTTTGGTTACAGCCATGGGCCAAATATTTTTCCGGTTTCCCCCAAAGGGGCACACATCCGCTGAAATAAGGTACTTCGAGCTCATCCGGGTATTGAGAGATTTACGTAGTCAGAGGTTTTAGGATCAGACTGTTGACCCTCGTGAATACCCCCTGACTCTGGAGGGGCAGGGTCGACAGTGAATGAATCACCAGCCAGGCCGAGTACCCGATCTAAGTGTCAGATCACTCGCCTACACCGGCTCGGGTGACGGTGCGTCGGATTTTGGACCTTTTGGTCCCAGGGTGTCCGCGGTTACGTGGATGGGTTCCTTCTCTACGAAGTTGAGGTGTCAGTTTGGGTGGCTCGTCTCCCCACGCGTCTATCTCGGAAGTTGTGCCTCTCAGAGATCATGGGGGCGTAGCCGGTCCTTAACTCCCGCTTTTGCCCGTGGAGACTGCTGGATTCCATCGACCGTGTGCGTCCCCTGCCTATAAAATAGAGGAATAGAGGAGGGGAGTTAGTATATTTGCATAGTAGCCTTTGCACGCTCACCTTCCTTCGCTCGTTGCATATCTTGTGGTCATCAGATCTTGCCTACCGTCCATAGCCAGAGAGAAGCGCCTAAGGAGGGATCTGCCAAGAGGGGCGTGCCTCCCTCCGCTCTGGCCTTCCGCCTAGGCTTGATGGGGTTCGGGTAAGGATAGATCTTGCTATTGACTTCGTCGGGGTTGAATCTGATGCATTTCTTGGAGTAGTGGTTTCTCGTTGGCACACTCGATGCCGTGGCCCACCGCCGTCTGAGAGGCCCTGTCGCTGTCACATCCCTTGGCATCGTAGGCCGTGCTGCCGCTGGCCTCGCCTTCTTCCTTTGATGATGAGGAGGCCAAAGGAGACGAGCACGACATCCATACCGTACGAGAGGAGCTGTCCATGGCCGGGCAATCCCCCAAGAATGGGTGTCGGGAGGTGGAACGGCTGAAGGAGTGCCTCACGACGTCCGAGACCGCTCTCGGCGCTGGGGACATGGAGGCTGCTGACGCCAGGGCCGCCAACGCGGCGACCTGCACCGAGCTCACCGGTGAGTTGAACTTCTTTACTTCTTTTGCGAAAATTGCTTCTTGTCTTAACTTTGAACCTCCGTGTTTCTCAGCGATTCAAGGGTAGCTAGGCGATGTCCTGGCTGAAGCGACGGATCTTCGCCGTGCTAACAAGGAGTTGGCCGGCAGACTGGTTGAGGCGACTCATCTGCGTGATGAGTCAGTGGATTGGGCGCGTGGCAATGCAGCCATGGTGCGAATTAATAGCAACAACTGCGTGGCACTGGAGAGGGCAGTGGAGGCCGCCGTCAGGTTGGTGCAACTGACGGGGTTAGACCTTCGTGAGCAAGCTCTTGGCCTCCCTGTGCGAATCAAGAAGGTGACGGCACATGGCGTTCGCCATGGGGCCACAACAGCCCTTGCTGCTGCTCACCTTCGTCTTTAGCCGGAGGTGGACTTGCATGCGATGGAGCCTGGGTTCCCGTCGTGGACGGAGGTGCCCGAAGATATCGATGTGAGATGGCTAATAGCTGATTTCGGTGTCGCTGCCAGTGCCACTGCAGCGGTTATAAATGTAGAGCAAGTCATCAAGGACACTCCTCATTGAGGTCAGGTCCTGTTGGTTTGCTTTTTGTGTAAAATATTATTTAAATAAAATTTCGCTTTGCAGACCGGTAGTTGCGTAATTGTAATTGTAGCCCCCGAGCACTCGGGCAGGTTAGTATAACATGTATGAGTGCTAAGACCACACACATTATCGTAACTATTTTGGCGTTGCCATGTCAGTGCAAAGCCCCCGACCACGAGTGTCGATTGGCCAGTGTGGCTTTACTCGAGAGGTGATGTTGCGTAGCATTTGGACATAGCCTCCATGCTGTTCTTTAGGAAAGTGTTTCCCTAGCTGTCTGAGGCGTAAAACCCTTTCATGCATAGCAACCATATATATATTTATTTTTTTTAAAGGTGGGAAAGCAACGATTAGTGCGTATTGACAACACTGGTGTTGTTTGCCCTGTTGTCTTTGTCCCTCCTCTGCTCGGGGTTGACCTGGCATTTTTTGCAGTTTGCACTATTGGTACTCTAGGCCCCGGTTATGGGGTTCTCCCTGGCGGCTGGGTCATCTTTCTCCTCTTTTGGTTTTGCTTCTTCGGGCAAGTCGGGTGCCTCTGGTGGCACCAGTGTAGCCGGTGAAGCAGAAACTGTGGAATCGGGAGGTAAAACGCTAGCCGGGGGTTCTGGCGTGAGCCAGTGCTCTGGGGATCGAGGCGAGCGTTAGGGCGTTCCCAAGCTTGTCTCTTGTTTATCCTCGTGAGCATGTTTTGACTCATCCCAAGATTAGGTCTTGTTGGGCCTATTCAACAGCCAGCCTCTCGCGGTCTTGAAAACTACTCATGACGGTGATGACACCGCGGGGGCCTAGCATCTTGAGCTTGAGGTAGGCATAACTGGGGATTGCCATGAATTTGGCATAATAGGGTCTCCCGAGGATGGCGTGGTAAGGACCCTCAAAGTCTACGACTTCAAAGGAGAGTGTCTCCTTGCTATAGTGTACCTGGTCACCAAACGTGACAGACAGAGTTATCGTGCTGAGGGGCATAACTCGTCGTCCGAGGACAATCCTATGGAACGGAGAATGTGGGGGACGCAGTTTGCTTGTCTCGATGTTCAGCTTCTCGAACACATCCTTGTAAAGGATGTTTATGCCGCTTCCTCCGTCCATGAGGACTTTGGTCATCTTTACGTCTCCCACGACCACACTGACCACTAGAGCGAACCAACCGGCCCCGATGACATGATCAGGGTGGTCGTCCCTATTGAAGGTGATTGGGCGCTCCGACCATCTTAAATAAACAAGAACTACAGGCGCAGTGGCAAAGATGAGACACCGATTTACCTTTTCACGATGGCGGTCATTGTAGGCCTATGGGCCCTCGAAGATGATCATGACACCCTCGATGTTGGGTAGCCACCTTCTTCATCCTCAACGGCGCTGTCCTTCCCTTTCTTCAGGCGGCTCCCTTCATCTTGTCCTTGCCAGCTTCAATGATCTCACGTTTGTAAGTATGGCAGTCCCTGGCCAAGTGATTCACCGGGAAACCATGGTTTTGACATGTCTGGTTCATGATCTTGTCGAATTTTGCACGGCCTCCATGGCTTTGTTTGAATTTGTTGCCTTCTTGTTTCTCGACGTTGGCCACGAGCTCGCCTCGACGCTTACGATCCTTCTTGGTTAGTGGGGATTGATCCGCATCGTCGGTGAGTTGCGACTTATATTTGTCGTTACTAGCGTTAAAGCAGATTTTGGTCAATTACGGAAGATGTGGTGGACCCACATGCGGGAAGAAGAGTGTTCGGCAAATAGCATAGCGGTCGGCTAAATGCTTGTGCGGTCGGTTATTACGGAAGGCGGTAACTCCATTCGGGAAGCGAGAAGATGGCAAGCAAAGCCGATCGAGAAGATGAAAGTTGTAATAATAAAGGACTACGAGAGTTTGGGGCAAGGAATCGTAGTTTCCAAGTTTATTTAAAGAGTTCCTTTGTAAATCGTAGTCTTTTAGGACTCGTGTTTCGTCTAGGGTATAAATATTGACCCTCGACCATTGTAATAGGCGTTCACAACCAAATCAATACAACCGGCCCCGTGCCAACTTTCGAGTCCTTTTTTGTGCCGTGTCGTCGAGTTCTTGAGAGGAGTCATCGATCCGTCGACCTCCGTAAGTTCCGACAACCTTGTTATCATGTTTAGTATCATGCGGTGGATTTAGACGTGATGCAAGTAGTCTTGTTTGTTTTCAATGATCGTGCGGCGGATCTTTGCTTGACAATCAAGAAGTCTTTGCTTATACTTTGTTTATGAGTAGATACCGTGCGGCAGGCGTTTGCTCAATATGCTTAGTGGAAGCAAGACAGTTATCGGCTCTATTAGATTACGGCAAAATCTAAATAGATTCATCAAGTTATCTGTGTTGCATGTTTTAAATATTTTATATATTTGTAAC